AGAGAGAGACAGAGAGGGAGGGAGAGATTGATTGATTAATTTGGGAGAAAGCAAGGGAAATGGAAAATATTCCAAAATAATACAGGAAACATTTATAAATATTCCATGTATCCCTTTTACTTTACAGGAATTAGAAAATAAAAGAAAACTACAAAAACAAGCTGCCACTAGTCAAAGTGCCACAGAAGTTCGCTTGAATAGAGCTCTAGAAGATGCAGAAAAGTATAAATTGGAGCTAAGTAAATTAAGGCAAAATAACAAGGTATGGAAAAAAATTAAATAGCTTTGTTAGTGATCACCTTTGGTAACTTCCTCTTTAATGCAAGAGTCAAAAATAAGTTATAATTCTTGTTGTCCAAGTGAACATTTCTCTTTTCAGAAGAAATAGATTCATTATCAGTATGTACATTATCAATAAGTTAGGATTATTTTGCTTGGACTATTGCTATAAGTGGATGATAACACAACTGTTTGGAGGATTCATTCCTTTTTTTTCATCCAACAAATCTTTATTCATTCACTTTTTCACCCAATACATACAACATTGTGCCCATGTTATATGCCAAATACTTTCCTAATCTCTGGGGATAAATGGTGGGATCAAGTCTGTTATATCCTTCTTTGAGCCTCAATTTTCTAATATAGAATGCAAGAGGAGATTTTCCAGAGCAGTGGTGCTCAAACTTGAGCACATATCAGAATCCCCGGGAGAGCTGGTTAAAACATGGATTGCTGGGCTCCACCCCCAGAGATTCTGATTCACTAGGTCTGGGGTGAGGCCTAAGAAGCTGCAGTTTTAACAAGTTCCCACTGGTTCTGAGATGATATTTTAATAACTAGTTATAGAGTTATTGTAGTAATCACCATTGTATTGCAGTATTTAGCTAAAGATTGACATACAATAGAATTAGCGCTCTATTCCTAAAATATCTGTTGAATAAATGAAGGCTTAAATATCGAGTGTATTTAAACCTGTTTTACACTCTAAATATTGGCTACTAGGTTTTGGTTTTGTGTCAGGCTAAAAGTGATGCTCCTTTGGAATCTCTCCCTTGGGACAATATTAAATAATTTAACGATGGCTTGGATGATGAAATTAGGAGCCACTCTCATTACATACACAAAATGATACGTTTTGGATTAAGTTAGTAGCATTATAGGACATAGAACGAAACTGATCTTGGAAAGTCCTCCAACATGTTTAACAGGCAAATGTTACAGTGACTACAGAGTTTTAAGATTATCTTCTGTGAGGTTCTTTATACTGTATGATCAGACTGTTCATATTCAGCAACCATCAATGATGGCATGGTGATGGGGACTGATTAATAGAAGTTATTAAATGAGCAAGTTAGGAAGTCTTTACAAACTTGCCAATAATTAGCATGTTATTATTTCCAATTTGGTGCACTCTAAAAAGGATTTTGAAGAAAATGAAATGAAATGGACTAACCAGTGATGTCAGGATTTGCTAATTCTGTTTGTAGATTTAATCTGTTTTAGCACACATTAGAGAAGTAGAAAGAAAAACTTGTTTCCATGACAACAGATGACGCTCCTAATTCTAGCCAGCCATTTTGCAAATTCAAATAAGGACGACTTGGTCTGTGAGCAACTCAGTGTGAAACCATCAGTGCTATAAAAACTTAGATGTGTTCAAGACACACTTCCTACCTTAGGCCTGCATTGGGGGTGACCAATTTAAACAGGTGAAGTTTTGTGTATATATTACTATTTACTATCAGGTAGCTATGTTGAGATCAGAGTTCTTAAATGTAACTTATTTTAGATGTCTGAAAAGTGTTCATGTATCTTGAGTTTTTTCTTTTTCTTTTTTTTTTTTAAGATTTTTTTTTTTTTATTGGGGAATTTGGGGATGGGAACAGCGCTGGGAATTGGGGGAAGGGGAACAGACAAGTTGCTGTCCTTTTGTTCTTCAGTCTAGTTGTGGAGGACGTTGCTTCACTGGCCCAAGTTGGCACCATCATTGCGCTCTTCCCGGGCGAGGCAGATCAGTCGCTGGCTGCTGGCCGCTCACGCTGGCTGCTGGCTACACACGGTAGCCCACGGCAACCCACTGCAGCAGGGGCTGCAGCCTACCCCCGGCGACTCATGGCAACCCAGCTCCAGGTTGAGCTGTTGTTCAGCATCTTAGCTGTAGAGGGCAGTGTCACTGGCCCTCATATGTGGGATCCGAACCGGGGCCCTCTGGCGTCCCAAGCCAGCTCTTAACCAAAGCACACCACTCGGCCGGCCCTGAGTTTTTGATTTTTCAATTATTTTGCCTTATTTCTAACTTTCCTCTTTGAGGGATGTTTTTGGGATATGCAGTAAGTTTTTCCTTGGAGTCTAATAAGTATATAAGGTTTTCTTTTGTGAGCTGGTATATTTTTTTCCATTTTAATTCTTTGTACCTTGCTTCTCATTCTGATTAGACATGTAATTAGGTAAGCAATTAAAATTATTCAGGTTTATTATTTAAAAATGATAAACTTATTCTCCATAGAGGTTAGGAATCAAGTAATCTGGCTTTAGAATAACTTAAAATGAGGTCAGTCAGCTTAAACCAGATGCTGCGTGAGTGCAGGAACCCCGACTTTCCCACTCACTGCTGTGACACACTGACGGAAGGAATGAGGAATGACAACTTTGTGATGCTTGACAGGAATTCTACTTAAAAACAGCATCTGAATCAATGGTGGTTTGAAGTTCATTTAAAATATGTTAACCAAGTCCATGTTACTTCATTTAGGAACAGATAATTTCTAATTCTTCATTAATTAATTTAGAAACATTTATGAGGGCCTGCTGGGTACCTGCCAGATCTTTGCTAGAGGCTGGAGATACGAAGGTGATAAATAATAAATGTGGTACTTATAGTGAAGAAGTTGGATCTTATTTAGATAACTCATCAAGCAAAAATATGGGGCAACTGTGATTAATGCCTTAAAAGAAGTTACATGGTGCTTTAAGCAGGTAACCAGGTCAGTGAATGTTTTTTAAAAATGTAATTTAAGCTAAGATCTGAATAACATATAGGAGATATGTGCCAGGGGAAGAGATTGTGGACACAAGGAATAGTATCTAAAAAATGGCTCTACGTCAGGAAAGAAGACAAGGTAATGAAAGGCAAGGATGGATGTGAAGGGGGTGTTACAAAGTGAGGCTTCAAACATGGGTAGAGGCCAACCCATCTAAGTCCTTTAGGCCACGTTAAGTATTCTGGATTTTATCCAAAAAGCAGTACAAAGCCACTGCATGGTTATTTTGAAAAATAGATGCTCAGGAGTGAGGGGAAAGGATGAAAATAGATGCCATGAAATTTCCTACTATTTTGAATGTGGCTTTTGCTTGGTTGCTGCTGCTTAACTGGCATCTAGCGTTCTCATGAGCCTGCACTGGTCTATACAGTCAGTGTTTCCATGCTCCTTGGGGGCACAAGGGCCTGGAGCTTCCTATTCTGCTGTCCTGCTGATGGCACTCTCAATTATTTAAAGAGAATTTTTAAAAAGTGATATTTACCATGTTACTATTTCTGGTAATCTTTTCTGTGTATGTAGGTTCAGGTTTCCTTCTGGTATCATCTTCCTTTTGCATGAAAGACTGACTTTTTCCCAAGTATAGCAGGTCCTTGAAATAGTGTTTCATTCAATGTTATTTTGTTATGTTGATGAGATGGCTTAGGAACTTGAGTCTTGTTTACATCAATTAGCCTATGGTAAAATTGGTTTCATTACACGTCATATCATTTAAAATCACAGAATCTGTCAATGACATTGAGTTCTCACTATATAAGATCTTTCTGTACTTAGGAGCTTCTACTAATGTGTCTTTAAAGGTCGCTGATCCTCTTTCTGCATTGTCCAAAGTGCTTCAGAGCTCATCCAGTTAATTTTTACCAAGATAACAAACTCAGTCTCCCTGGTCATGGGCAGTGGCAGAATTCTCTGCTCAGCTTTGTAGACTGAAGCTGTTGCTTTTCATGGGTTCCTAGGAGTCTCACCATGTACCTGGTATTTGGGTGTCTGCCAAGGATTTGAGGGAAATATATATGCAGATTTTGAGAGCCTCCTCCTTTCCAGGTTTCTCACCTGGAAATTTCTCACCCTGGCAGCCTTGCTCCTTTGTCAGCCCAATACGACTGGGCTGCTACTTTTTGCTTAAGGTCTGTGAACCCGTGAACTGGAAAATGCTTGCAGAAGCCAACTGAATGTGAATCGCAACCAGTATGCTGCTCTTACTATTGATTCAATTCATCTGTTCTTTCCAATGTTTTAAAAATTGTGTCCAGAGTTTGTATTTGCTACTGTCAGGAGTGTTGACCCAATACAAGCTACTTTGCTATTATTGGAATTAGAGCTGAGTTGTTACTTTAAAAACGTTTTTTTAAATGTGAGACTTGAGCATCATTAAAAGTTATCAAAGAGAACTTTACCAAAATTTTTACATTTTAGTTAAAAGTTTCTGTAATTTTTTTCCTTTTGTAGGATATAGCCAATGAAGAACAGAAAAAAATTGAAGCATTAAAATCAGAAAACAAGAAGCTAGAAAAACAAAAGGGAGAATTAATGATAGGGTTCAAGAAACAATTAAAATTAATTGACATTTTAAAAAGGCAGAAGGTGAGTCCACCCTAAAAAACAAGGTTAAACCATAGATATTATGTGGACCTCTCTACTAAAATATTTAGTGTACTTTAGGTATGTTTGACATACTTCAACACAAAATTTATCAGTATATAAGATTTATATGTAATGTCACCAAGCAAATGGTTTTCATGAAAGTAAATTAGTAATGTGGAAAATGGGACTGGAAAATACAGTATGAGTACCATATACAAAAATATCTATCATCTTAGGGGAAAATTGATTCCAAACTACTATTGTTCCATTCTCTACATGTTACCTGGTAGTGAGAAGATATGAATTCATCATTCTGCCACTTTCTCTTTTTTGCAAAGGCAACAGTAGGTTGGTGCAGTTCCACCACTGAACAAATAGGCTTTTATAGGCTGACCCCTGAATGTAATTACCATTTCAAATATGTTTATTGGAATTACAGTATACAGTCCTACAATAGATTATAATTTGATAGCATATTATACATACACTCTTACAAATTTCCTGTGGTCTATTAATACTAAATTAGACAATATTGATTTTTTTAAAAAACACAGATGCATATTGAAGCTGCCAAGATGCTGTCTTTCACCGAAGAGGAATTTATGAAGGCACTTGATTGGGGAAATTCTTAAGTGATCTACTCTAATCAGTCTCTAGAACCAGCAGTGTGTGGTGGGTATACGTAATGTGTAATGGTTTGAATTATTTGTACTAGTAAGTAATAAAGATATTTGATAATGAAATCAAAAGAATTCCCTGTTTATATTGGGGGGATACAACATTGATATGTAATTTAAAGAAAATATTTGGTAAAATAAAGCAATAGGAATTTAACTTTTGATTTTGCTGTCTTTCTTTTGACCTAGTAGCCCTTCCTCAGCTGCACTTGAATAGAAAGTATTTTATGTTCTGGAGATTTAGCTCTAGTTAGTTAATTTAGTGTATCTGAGAGGAATTGTCTTTAGTATCTTATTGACAATTAAGCACTTTGAAAAGTCTCACCTATTACTTTTCTCCTCCTTTATGGTAGACAGAAAAGGTGCTTTTTTAAAAAACAAAAAAGTGTTTTAAAAAATATTTACATTTAAAAAATTAATGTTTAAAAACATATACCATGTGAATATGGACTTAACTTTGGATTAGTGTGCTAGGGTTGCCATAAGGAAGTACCACAGACTGGGAGGCTTAAACAACAAACTTTCTCCCAGTTCTGGAGGCTGGAAGTCTGAAGTCGGGTGTCAGCAGGGTTGGCTTCTTCTGAAGCCTCTCTCATTGGTTTTTGGAAGGCCATCTGGCTCCCCCGTATCATCATATGTCAGAAAAATATGATTTAAACCCAAATTAATTCTAAATACCTATTTCCCTGGCCAAAAAATCAGGGAAGTAAAATTCCTAAACACAGAACTGTAGCCTGAATGGAAATATAGAAAAGTTCTGAACAGTAGGAGTGGTATAGAGAAGTTAGTCTCCTGGGTTTAGCCTGTATACCAGCGGTGCCAAAAAAATGTATATACATGACTTGTATGCATCTTTTGTTATCGGTATATATTGAATATTACAATTTTAATAATTTTTTCCTTTTTTAAAATGTGTATACATTTTTTTGGCACCCTCTCTATATTGCTATATATGGAGTGTTATAATGTGGTGTTATAAAACTCAGATCCTCAAATTATTCAGTAATTTTAATTTTTATCAGAAAGCAAATGTTTTCTTATAGATAACTGTTTACAAATGATGATACAGAGATATTTTAGAAAATCCATACAGACAATGGAGTCCTATCACTGAACTGTAAAACAAAAGTTACACTGACATCTAGTGGTACAAATAATCCAGGTTTTACCAAATATTGATGATATCACTTCTCTTCACAAATTTCACTCCTTTTCTGATACGCTTTTCTAAACTCTTCGCCAAGCATATCAATATCATCCTCTTTTTTGAATACTCCCTACAAGAAAAATATTTTGAGTTACTTTGAATGCCAGGATATATCACTAAATGCTTGTAAGACTAACATATATAGACATGAAATTTGTAACATCTCCAAGATAATGAAATCCATTTAATAAATTTATGAAAAAATAACTTTCTGAAACATTATGACCATACGCGCGTGTGCACTCTCTCTCTCTCTCTCTCTCTCTCTCTCTCTCTCTCTCTCTCTCAATATTCTTCGACTGACTTGATTTCCCAATTTATCAGTTCTGGTGTTGGAACTTGTCATAGGAATCTGGGATCTTCTTTACTACAAGTACTACTGCTTAGAGTGGCTGAATGGGAAGGAACTGCATCTACACTGTCCTGTTGAAACAGCCCTACAATACGATGTGAGGGGCTCAGGTGAAGAGACGGAGCTTTGCCAGGTTCATGCAAGGGACTAGTTCTTGCCTCAGTTCTATGGCTAATCAGTAAACATTCGGTCTTACGGGAAAGAATCCAGGTTTGGAGTTAAGCCATTTAAAATTCTTGCTAGCGCTTTGAAATTCTTTTTCTTTTCTTTTCCCTTACAGTAAAAGGCTCTTTAAAACAAAACAACTTAAATCTTTACTTATAACTATAGGATCTAAATAATAATTTAGGTCATTGGAACCATTAGGACCTAAAGGATAAAAGTCATTTTAGGATATCAGGTTTATTAGGCTTTCTCCCATCTCCACAACTGTTTCCCTACAAAATTATCTAAAACTTAAGACTCTTCCAGAATTTGTAGTCTATTTCATGGAATTTATCAGTTCCATGTGGCTGTTGTCATTAATACATCATTTTCTATTCATCAGTCCTGTCTGAACAATTAGACTGTAAGGTCCTGTGAACAGGCAATAATTACTCATGTTTCTCTTTCTCCTTCCTTTTCTTCCTTAGCATTGAACTAAACACAAAATATGCACTTGATCCTTCCAACTGAATAAAATATCAAATGTCATAATTTCTGTATTTGAAGGGTAGAAATTTTATTTAAGAGTCCAGATGTTTATGTGGCCTGTGAAACTCAGGTGTTCATGAAAATTTGCTATCTTCTGGAAGTACTTTTAAAAACTGAGGTTACCTGGTACCTCGTTATAACACAGCCTCCTATTGTAGAGCAGATCTGTCACCAACTCAGTACAAGTACGTATCTGTTATTGGTGTTACTGATTACAAGATTTTCCTATGTGTCATCAGCTTTGGTGTAAGAGTCTCACAATTGCTTTATGGTAGTTTAGTTTTAGACCTCCTAGACTGACAGGGGAGAAAAGAATCTCTAAAATTTAAATTCAACAAATCTAGCTCATACTTCTAAAAATGCCAAGACCAACTCTCATTTTGGAGATGTTCAGTGACAGGCCAAGATCCCACTGCGGCTTGATGACAGCAAGGAGTGAGTGAAGCCCAGGCCCTCTGGAATCCTAACCATGGTTTCCCCTCACCAGTAGAGGTCATGAGCATTACACTTTTGAGTTAAATCTCACTTACTTTAGGGAGATAACCTAGTAATTTTACAGCATGTTCTTTGAGAAGCTTCAGTCTTTCTTCTTCAACAATTGCATTGATACAGCCTTGTTTTCTTTGCTGCAACTGCCACTCTTCCAGTTCATGTTGCTGGAAATGTAAGTAAAATGCGATGGTCACAAAATACATTAATCTTTTAAGAACTTATCAAAACTACTTTTGCAGTGAATTAGATATAATTGATGAACTATATATTGACACTTCAAAAGATACTAGACGGTATGTATATATATCTTATATATATTATATGTACATATCTTTAATAGTCACTATTCCTTTAAAGTTACAAAAATAATAGTTATGACTGGCGTTTTAGGGAGGCAAGTACATATTTTCAGGACAATATCTTCATTACCCAGGAAAAAATGTTCGAAAAGTTATTTCCTAATTAATTCAACAAATATTTATTGAATGAGTACCATGCGGCAGGTGCTGGAGGCAGCTTACAGTGTAAGACAAAAAAAAAAGTAGATAAAGCAGAATAGGGATATCTAAAAGACACATGTCCATAAATACCAAGTTTTAAAAAGCCTGCGTGAAGCATAAGAGTAGCAACAAGCGTTCTACAGGGAGAACTAGTATTTCTTAGGAGAGAGCTCTGAATACTCAACTGCACCCAAGTTCTGTGCCATGTGATAAGGAAGAGAGGACTAGCTTTAAAAAGTTCTAGGGATTAGAAGAAGACTTATGGAAACGTATCCAAAAAATCCCGTTGGATAGGGAAGATGCTAAAAGGCAGACCACTGAAATAGTGATGAATTTCTGCCAAGAATTACATTAACGTAGTAGTAATGCGAAGCTTTTCTCTGAAATAACTAGTTTACTAGGGCCACTATTTCTTCAGACCACTCCTTGTCAAAGACATGGAAAACAGAAAGGAAATAAAATTATGATTCGTAAACAGGTAGCTCACATCATCTGGCACATAAAATGTTCTCAGTTAACTGTTTAGTGGATGAATACATGAGGTGATTGCTGTTAAATGATAATGACCAAAAAAACAAACAAACAAAAACACCAAAATAGAAAATATTTTTTCTTACTTTGGCTGCAAGGAACTGGTTGCGACGCTCTTCGATAAGTTTTTCCACAGCCCTCTTGTGTTCTAGTTGCTTCATTCTTTGTTTCTGAGCATTCATTAATTCTATTCGATCATCCTCGGCAAGTTTAGCTAACATTGCTTTTCTAAAGATCTCCTCTTCCTCTTTCGCAGCCTGTAGTACTAGTTCCTTCAAGGCCATTTGTTCTATAAAATCTTGCTTCAACTCCTTTTGCTTTCTCAATTTCTCTTCTGCTTCTTCCTAAACAAAACATTGTAATTCATTCAGTAACTGTTTCTTTACAGCAGATTTATAAAGGGTGGGAGAATTTGGTTAAGCTTAGTGTTAACAATATGAAATAAAACTAAAAATGCCTTTTCAAGATAATACATTGCTCTGTCCTTTTAAAGCTAGTTGTTTAAGGACATGCTACCTTTGAATTGCCTTCTATTACTTGTTTTTAAATTTTAATTTGTATGTATTTACCATCTTGTTTCTGTACTCAGAATTAACACATATCTACTTTGAAAAGAGCTGATATGAAAACTTTTTTTGCACACCCACGTTTATTAAACCTGTGTTCTGTGAAATATGTTTTAACTATGAATCATTCTAGAATCTTCTCTGAAACTATTGTTCAGAACAATAGTCTAGCAAAGATAATCAGAAGTTTTTAAGGGAAAGTCAAATTTACTTGGAACAGTTAAAATTCCTTTCCTACAAACTTTAATTTTCTCAACACTTTATTTTTAATTTTTAATTTTTAATTTTAAAAATTTCAAACATAATCAAAAAACAAAGAACTTGACAGTGATCACCCATATACCGAAACACATGGATTCTACCAGTAACATTTTACTATTTTTGCTTTAGCATCTATTCAGTTAGGACTGATGTAAATTTTAAATCCCTCTCTAACTAACCCAGTTCTTACACAAGCTCCAGGTAGTCCCCTATCCTCAAGGCATTCAAAATATTGCCTTAACAATATATGGTCAGGGTTCTTACTTACAGAATAACACAAACTCTAAGGGATTTACCACAGGCCCTCAGGTGGCAGAGAGAACTTCCAGGAGGTCCAGGGAACCAAGCAGACAGCCCACTGCTCAGACCCCATGGTGATAACTCCACCAAAGCCACCCCAGTGACCTGGTCTTCCCAGTGTGGCTGCTCAGTTTGCTCACTTCCATCTTCACACCTTGAAAGGGCGGGGTGGGGGTCAGGGTATAACTGCTGGAGATAATCTACATCATATGAAGGATTCTAGCTAAAGAAAAGTAGTTTTAACTTTATAGTCTTTTATAACAAAATAAGACAAATGTTTTAAGAATAGATGTAGGGTAGGCCAGTCGAGTGGCTCAGTTAAGAGCTTGCTCAAGAGTGCGAGCTCTGAGCAACAGGGTCACCAGTTTGATTCCCGGCCCGAGCTGAGCTGCCGCTGAGCTGCCAACAGGTGGCAGGATGGCTCAGCTTAAAAAAAATTAAAAAATAAAAGTAGGGTTTAAGTGAGCCAATCTGCAGTATCAGCTAAAGCAACTTTGATTATTATATTCAGTATTGAACCTCTTTCTTCACTTACTCTTATCTAATCCTCTTTTCAAATCCTACCCCCTCCATAAAGTCTTTTCTAATCATTGTAATTCATACTTATCTCTCTGGCCTCTTATACCATTTAATTTTTCCATCATTTAATTTTATTTCATATGTATAGGCCTTATCTCCTCACTAAAAATAAATTCCTAGAGGCCAATCTTATTTTTCTTTGGGATACTGGGCATATAGTTTTTATCATATATAGTTTATGTTTATTTGCCACCGATTACATAGAAGTCAAACGGCTCACTGACGGCAGAGCCACTGTCTAAGCTTTAAATTCCTCCAGAGATTCTCATATTTTTCACATAGAAATTTAGTACATATTGAGCCAAATGAAATGCTGACAATTCCCAGCATCCATCTCCCATACAAATTTTAGTTTAATCCAATGAAGACATCTAGATAAAAAATAAAGTGTTTGGCAAAACAAAACATAATTTGTTACACTTTATCAACTAGAAAAGAGTTCATGTACTCTTTGTTATAGCTGGATCAGGATTATATTGTTGTATAATGTAAACTGCATAATTTTCCATCCTTTTATGTGTTCTAAAACCCAGTATGTGGTTTGAGAAATAGCTGTTCTCTGAAAGTTTGAAATAATTTTTTAGAGGTATTTAGTCTGGGTTCTCCTCTGAAAGCAGAGCCTTAAACAAGGACTTGTACATAGATATTTTATCAGGGATGTACTCTCAGGAAGCAGCGGTGACAGAGTGCAACGGGGAAGGAAGACAAGCCACCACCGGTACCTCACCGAACTCATTACCACCATGGGCAACTGAGGCTTAATCCTGCCAGGAACTGATAAGGAATGCATGGAGCACCTTTCGGGACCTTCCTCCCTCACACCTTCCCAAAGGCCAACAGGAAGAAGCATCTGTCCTTTCATTTCTGTCCATTGATTTTTGAGGGATACCCCAGAGGATGTACCCCTACTCACACCCCCACACTTTAGGAAGCTGTCAGCACAAAGTCAGTCTAAGCCCTCACAACTGTTCTCCACAGCTGTCACTAAAACCAGAGGTGAGGCTGAGAGGCTGTGAGGCAGGGCACAAAAGACTTTAGATATAGGAAATAGCCTTAATAATCTGATTTTGCCTGATTCTTCAACATTTTTTGAAACCACTGTATTTTGAAATCAGAAAATTGTGCCTTTGAGATTTTTCACATTACTAGTGTACAATTGAATGACCTTTCACTATTTTTCTAATCTTTTTTATAGAACCTTTATTCCTTCAAATTGTTTTTACTTTTTTCTTTTGTATGTCTTTTCCAGAGTAAAAGCTCCCCCCCCAATATTAAGCAATTAGATTAATGCTAATGTGTTTTTCTGATTTTTAGTTTATTTCCACCACTTGTATCTTTACTATTTCCTTCCATATTCTTGTCTCATATTTGAATTTGTATTGTTTTTATAAGTTACTGAGTTGATTGCCCAGATAATTTTTTCCAATATTCTTGTTTATTAATTAATTGCCTCAGGGATCAGTTTTACAAAATCTGATAGATTTTGATATACAGTAATTCCATCCTCTAAATTGTCTGCAAATTTTCTCTTCAGCCAATGTTGAAAAGAATATTTTTAGATTTTCAATTGGTAGGTTGAATTATTTGTTATTAATTTCTAGTGGTGTTAAACACTCTTCCCCTTGCACTATTCTGGTAAATTTTCTTTGGAGTTCCAGCGGCTTTTAAAATGATGTACTTCAATGCAACATTACAAGGAAGATTAAAATTCAATATTGATTATACCTTTTATCTGTGATATCTGGGATTAACTTTATGTTCTAGTAGTCTTGTAATAGCCCTCCTGTTTCCCATTTGTTCATATATATCTGTTATACCTTCATCCATCATTTAATTCTTAACATGTTTGGGTAATTTGATATTAGGTATATTTAAGTGGATTATATGGTTTTTAAAGAAACCTATACATATTTTATTTTTTATTTTTATTTTGTTTTAGCTGAGCCATCCTGCTACCTGTTGGCAGCTTAGCGGCAGCTCAGCTCAGGCTGGAATCGAACCAGTGACCCTGTTGCTCAGAGCTCGCACTCTTGAGCAAGCTCTTAACCAACTGAGCCACTCGGCCGGCCCCTACACATTTTATTCTTATATGCAGTTAAATACTAAGAATATACATGCAACAGGTTTTTATATCAATACATGGGATCTATTTCCTCCTCAACGAAGAAACAGTGTTATCTAAGATAATGTTTTGACATAGTTGAAAATATTAAATATAACAACACTAACAGCTACACTTTATTGTGTACTTGACTATTCATATATCTTGTTATGAAGTGTGTGTTCAAACTTTTCGCTCATTGAAAATAGCTGGGTTCTTTATATTCTATTATCGAGTTATAAGTGTTCTTTATATATTCTGGATAAAAGTTCTTTGTAAGATATATATATAGGGAATATTGTCTCCCGGATTGTGGCTTGCATTTTCATTTTCCTAACGATAGTAGGAAACTGTTAATTCTGATGAAGCTCAATTTATAAACTTTTTCTTTTAATTGCTCATGCCCTTTTTATCAAAAATTATTTGCCATTCTCAAGTTCATAGAGACTTTTTCCTGTTTTCTTCTAGAAATGTTGTACCTTCAGCTTTCTTGTGTATGTCTTACTTATTTTGAGTTCATTTTTGTGTATAATATGACAGGAAATAATAAGTGTTGGCAAGGAGGTGGGGAAACTAGAACCCTCCTACATTGGGGTTAGAAATGTGAAATGGTGCAGCTGCTGTAGAAAACAGTTGGGCAGTTCCTCAAAAAAGTTAAACACAGAATTACCATATGACCTGGTAATTCCACTCCTAGGTATACCCAAAAGAATTTAAAAAAACTATTCAAACAAAAACTTCTACACAAATGTACATAGCAGCAACATTCACAATAGTCAAAAGGTGGGGGAAAAAACATATCAACTGTTGAATGGATAAATAAAATGTGGTATATTCATACAATGATTACTAGGCCAAAAAAAAAGGAATGAAGTACTGATACATGCTACAAAATGAACTCAAAAACATTATCCGACGGGAAAAAAGTGAGACACAAAAGTTCACATACTGTATGATCCCATTTATATGAAATATCCAGAATAGCCAAATTCACAGAGACAAAAAGTAGATTTATATTAATAGTTGCCACAGGTTACAGGGATGGGAAAGGGGGAGTGGCTGCTTCATGGGTACAAGGTATCCTTATGGGATAATGAAAATGCTTTGGAACCAGAGATGATGGTTGCTAAACGTGAATGTATTAAATGCTGCTGAATTGTGTACTTTAAAAGAGTTAAAGTGGTAAATTTTATGTTATGTGACTTTTTCCTCAATAAAAAAACACTTTGTGAAGGGAGAAATACACAAATTCACAATTATGGTTAGAGACTTCAACAATACTCTCTCAACAACTGATAGAACTATTGGGTTGTAGGAAAAGTCATGATGTATTTTTTCTATGTTTTTCGTTGTAAAAATGCGTCATGACTTTTCCGACAACCCAACAGATGGAAAACCAGAAGCATATAGAAGTCAACAACATCATCAACCAATAGGATCTAATCAACATTTATAGAATTTTTCACCCAACAACAGCACAATACACATTCTTTTCAAGTGTCTACCTAACAAATTTAAAGGAAATGAAATATATTGAGTGTGTTATCTGTCCACATGGAGTCAAATTAGAAATCATTAATTAAAAAAAAAAACAGGAACAGGAAAACCTCTGGATATTTGTGGACTAAGCAACACACTTTTTAAAAAATCCACGGTTCAGAGAGAAGACAAAAAAAATACACTGGAGTTAATGAAAATGAAATTACAACATATCAAAACTTGTGAGATGCAACTAAAACAGCTTTGAGGGAAATTTGTAACACTAAATGCATACATTTAGGAAAATACATTTATAGCACTAAGTTCATACATGTAGGAAATGTCAAATCAATAATCTATCCTCCAACCTCAAGAATCTATGAAAAGAGAAGCCAAGTAAATCCAAAACAAGTGTAAGGAAGGATAATAAAGAACAGAGATGAATGAAAACCAATAAAAAATATCATTGAAGCAAAAATAAGCAAATCAGACAACATCAAACTATAAAGCTTCTGCAGAGCAAAGGACACCATCATCAAAATGAAAAGGGAACCTACTGCATGGGAGAAAGCATTTGTAAATCATATCTGATAAGGTGTTAATAACCAAAATATATGAAGAACTCATACAACTCAACAGAAAACAACAATCCATTTAACAGAAAATGGGCAGAGGACCTGAATAGACACTTTCTCCAAAGAGGACATACAGGTGGCTAATAGACATATGAAAAGCTGCTCAACATCACTAATAATCAGGAAATGCAAGTCAAATCTACAATGAGACAGCATTTCACAATTAGAATGGCTAGCATAAAAAAGACGAGGCAAGTGTGGGCAAGCATGTGGAGAAAAGGGAACCTTTGTGCACTATTGGTATAATGTAAATTGGTGCAGCCACTATTGAAAACAGGAGGTTCTTCAAAAAATTAAAAATAGAACTACCATACCATATGATCCAGCAATCCCATTTCTGGATATATACCCAAAGGAAATGAAAACAGGATATTTGAAGAGATATCTGCACCCCCATATTCAATGCAGTCTTAGTCAATAGCCAAGATATGGAAACAACCTAAGTGTCCATCAACGGATGTATGGATAAAGAAAATAGGTTGTGTGTGTGTGTGTGTGTGTGTGTGTGTGTGTGTGTGTGTGTGTGTGTGTGTGTGATGGAATATTACTAAGCCATAAAAAAGCAGGAAATTCTGCCATTTGTGACAACATGGATGGACCTTGAGGGTATTATGCTAATGAAATAAGCTGGACAGAGAAAGGCAAATAATGCACTGGTAACACTTATATGTGGAATCTAAACACAAATAAACTCAGAAACAGTGTGTAGAAAAGTGGTTGCCAATGGCTGGAGCGTGGGGGAAACAGAAGGACGTTGGTAAAAGGGTGTAAACTTTCAGCTATTAAGATGAATAAGGTCTGAGGATCTAATGTAAAACATGGTGACTATAGTTGATAACACTATATTGTATAATTCTATTTGCTAAAAGAGAACTGTCCTCACCAAAAAATTAAATAAATAAATATGTGAGGTGATGGATATATTAAATAATTAGGTTATGGGGAATCCTTTCACAGTGTAAACATATCAAATCACCACAATGTACACTTTAAATATCTTACAATTTTATGTCAATTATAACTCAAGAAAATGGAAATTTTTTAAAAAATCAGTGAAATTGAAAAACCTAAATCCAGGGCCCGCTGAATGGCTCATTGGTTAAGAACTGACTTGGGACGCCAGAGGGCCCCGGTTCGGATCCCACATGTGAGGGCCAGTGACACTGCCCTCTACAGCTAAGATGCTGAACAACAGCTCAACCTGGAGCTGGGCTGCCCTGAGTCGCTGGCGACGGCATAGGCTGCAGCCCCTGTGGCAGTGGGTTGCCATGGGCTACCGTGTGTAGCCAGCAGTCGCAGTGAGCGGCCATCCAGAAGCCGGCGACTGATCTGCCTCGCCCGGGAAAAGCGCAATGTTGGTGCCAACTTGGGCCAGTGAAGCAACGTCCTCCACAACTAGACTGAAGAACAAAAACGACAGCAACTTGTCGGTTCCCCTTCCCCCAATTCCCAGCACTGTTCCCATCCCCCAATTCCCCAATAAAAATCTTTAAAAAAAAAAAAAGAAAAACCTAAATCCAGAGTGACCAAATAAATGAAGAAACAAATTACCAGTATCAGTAATGAAATATGGGATAGCACTGGAGACCCCGCAGACACCAAAGGATACTAAGGGAATAAGTATGAACAATTCTACAGATGTAAGTTTGACAACTTAGACAAAATGGATCACTTCCTTGAGGGACACAACCACAACTCACCAAATATTAAATAAGATAATTTGAATAGCCCTATAACTATTAAAGATATTGATTTAATCATTTAAAACTCAAAAACTTAAACTCCAAGCCCAGATGGTTTCACTGAAAAATTCTACCAAACATTTAAAGAATTAACACCAATTCTACACTTTCTTCCAGAAAATAGAAGAGGAAGGAACACTTCCCCATTCATTTTATGAAGAGTATTATCCTGACACTAGTATTAAAAAACAAACAAAAAACAAACCCTAACAACCAATCCAATATTCCTCATGAATATGATGCAAAAATCCTTAACACAATATTAGAAAGTAGAGTCCAGCCGTATATTAAAAGAATTACACACCATGACCAAGTGGAGTTAATTCCAATGATGAAAGGTACTAAAAAAATCAATGTAATCTACCAGGCTAAAGAAGAAAAAACACATGGTCATGTCAATAGATGTAGAAAATGCATTTGACAAAACTTAATACCCCTTCATGATAAAAACCTTCAGAAAAAAAAAAAACATAGAAGAAAACTTCCTCATCTTAATAAAGAGCATTGACAAAAAAACACTTTCCCCTAAGACAAGTAACAAAGAAAGTTGATGTCTATTCTCATCTCTCTTATTCATCATAGTGCAAACCAGGTCTAGAGGTTTTAGCCAGTGCAATATGGCAATAAAAAAAAAAAGGAAATAAGGGCCGGACAAGTGGCTCAATTGGTTAAGAGCTTGCTCAAGAGTGCAAGCTCTGAGCAACAGCTGTTCGATGCCTGGCCTGAGCTGAGCTGCTGCTGAGCCACCAACAGGTGGCAGGATGGCTCAGCTAAAAAAAAAAAAAAGGAAATAAAAAGTATACAGATAAGAAAGCAAGAAATAAAAGTGTCCTTATCTGCAGAAGACAAGACTGACTATGTAGGGGGAAAAAGAAACACCTAGAGCTACTAAGTGAATTCAGCAAGATTGTAAGGTACAAGATAAATATGAAAAAGCCAACACCTTAGCAATGAGTAAGTGCACACTGATATTAAAACTAAAATTCCACTTACAATCACTAAAATTAAATACTTAGATGTAAATCTAACAAAACATATAGGATTTGTATGCTCAAAACTACAAAACACTAATGAAAATGGAGAGTCATATTGTGTTCACTGATTGGAGGACTTGACAGTGAACATGCCAATTCTCCCCAATTGATAGTTAGATTTAATGCAATTCCTATCAAAATCTCAGAAGACTATTTGTACACAGAGACAAGGTTATTCTAAAATTTATATGGAAATGCAAAGGAACTAGAATAGCTAAAACAATTTTGAAGACTCACTATATAGCTACAGTAATCAAAACCATGTGGTATTGGTGGAGGGACAGACACATGGATCAACAGATAAAATAGAGATCCCAGGAATATACCCATACAAATATGCTCAGCTGTGTTTAAGAAGGTACAAAAGCAATTCAATGTAGGAGAGAGAATTTTTTTCAGCAAATGGTGTGGAGCAATTGGACATCCAAAAGCAAAAACTGAACCTTGACTTTGTATCTTATACAAAAAAATTACCAGAAAATGGATTGCAGGCTTAAATGCAAGAGTCAAAAACTTTTAAGGGAAAAAAAAGGAGAAATTCTTCAGGATCCAGGCAAAGACTTCCTAAAATTGATACCAAAAGTACAATCCACAAAAACAGAAATTGATAAGTTGGATAGAAATGGAAAATATTTGATCTGTGAAAACCCTATTAAGAGGATTAAAAAACAAGCTACAGACTAAGAAAATATTTATAAACCACACACCTGACAAGGACTAGTATCTAGAATACATAACAAACTCTGAAAATTCTACAATAAATGAACAACCCAGGTAGAAAATCAGATCATCTTGACTTCATGTCAGATTTGTTGATATTGTTCAACACTACATCCTGTGGTTTTCTGACTACTTATTCTATATATTAATGAGAAGAGATATTGAAATCTTCAGTTATAATTATGGATTTGTCTATTTCTCCTTTTGGTTTTGCCAGTTTTGCTTCATGTATTTTGAAGCTTTAGTTTCATACACATTTAACCCTATTGTCACCATGATTTCTACTCCAACTTGCTTTTGATTAGTGTTTGTAGGGTATATCTTTCTCCATCCTTTTGCTTTTGAACTGTGTGTCTTCATATTTAAATTGTGTTTCTTATGAACAAATAATTGATCATGCTTTTCATGAAGTTTGTGAACTGTTGATAGGGTTTAGTTTTTTTATCCATCTTGAAAATTTCTCTTGTAATTGTAGTGTTTACACCATTTAAATGTAATGCAATTATCAATATGGTTAGGTTTAAATCTGTGTTTCTACTGCTTCATCTCAAAATGATATTCTCTATATTAATCATGCTTTCAATTTCCAAAACTTACTTTCAGTTTCCTATCATGTATTTCAGCTTGTTCTTCCTGGTATAATTCTTGTCGCACTTGTTCCAAATCTTCACGTTGCCGTAGCATCTCTTCCAATTTCTGAGTCAGCTATGAAATTAAAAAAAAAATACACTGAAACATTTATAGGAACCAAATCCTATAACAAACATTTCAGAATTTCCCCAATGTTAAAGAAGTGGTTATTTTAATACCATATTCTGAAGCTGTAGCCTTTTTTCTTCATTTTCTTGAACTTTTGCCATCCGATATTCTTCTCTTTGTTGCTGCATGTTGGCAAACTCTATGATTTTTCTGTTTTCTTCTTCCATCTCCTCACGTTTCTTTTTTCTCCAGAGAGCCTGCTCTTTCTGAAACTCTTCTATATACCTTCGAGTTACATTCATTTTTTCTAACTTTTGTTGTCTTTCCCTAAATGCAATAGTGAATGCAGTTTTATAGTAACAGAAATAATAAAATATTGGAAAAATAGGTGTTATTTACTTCAATTATATGGAAAAAGAGGCTTACTTATTTATAGTTAGTTCATTCATGCAAGAAATATACTATTTACTATGTGCCACTAAATATGACAGGTATGAATTTTCTCTGAGTATAAACTACTACCATACCTCTTCTCTATCCTATTAACCAAGTTTTATGGAACTCATTTCAGAAAGGCTACAACCTGTTTACATCTGCCTTGCAGCGCTCTATACTTCAGGTGTCTACCAAGGAAATTCATTAGAAAACAAGTCCTTTAACATACGATATGGGCATATTTAAGAAAAACAAAGGTTTAGTCATTGTCACTTAATAAGTATTTATTAATTACCAGATAATTATCATGCTAACAAAGACAGATAAGAGTTGGTCTCAGTTTATGTGATCATAACCTATACTAAGACTTTCTGTGTATCAGGCACTGTGTAGGTGCTCACCTCTTCAAAACAAGCCTGTGATCAGCCTAACGTAAATCTTTAAGTATGTAAGAAAGTTGGGATTAACTTACAATTGATCTTCTTCATAGATTTTCCTAACAATTTCATCAATCATGAGTTTCTCTTTCAGCAACTGCTCATAAGCTTCCTGCTTTTTTTTTTCTTCTTCTTCAAGTTGTTTCTCTAAGTCCAGACAGTACTGTACTTTCAATTTATTTCGTCTGTCCTCTGCAGCATTCTCTTCCTTTATCATTCTCTCGTGTTCTTCCATCATGGTTTTGGCTATTTCGGCATCACGTTTCTGTTATTGAAACAAAATTCATCTTTCTATTTTCAAATCTGAGCACAGTATGATAGGCTATTTTAAACAGATGTAACTGAATATTGTAAAGCCTGTTACATAAATATTTTCATCTGTCTAGGTAAAAAGCAAAGATAAGTCACAGTCACCTGAAGGGTTTGAATGATGATGAGTCAAACCCTAAAGAGGCTTTCTTATGCCTCCAAGTAGCTCAGGGCAATACATAATAAAGATAATATGAATAAGTCAATCTTTGAAAAACAATAAGTAAAATTAGAAGTATTTTATTAATAACTATGTTAACTGCCAAAGAAGCAGTCATCTTTTTCTTGTATTTTTATTCTACTTAATGTTGGCAATTTTCACAATTGTTATCTCTATTGTGGTTCAGCTGCTATTTAGAGTAAGTATGGTACAGGCAGACCTCAGAGATACTGCAGCTTCGGTTCCAGACCACCGTAATAAAGCAAGTATCGCCATAAAGCGAGTGGTATTCTTTTTGCTGGTGGAGGGTCTTGCCTTCAATTTGTAAAAAACAGTATCTGCGGAGCACACTGAAGAGCAGCATAGTGGAACAAGGTGTACCTACTGTGTTTTTCACAAGGGTCTGCTGTGCAATAGCTCTGAGCAACACTGAAAGTTCCTCCCAGCTGAGACTTTCTTCCCTGCCACTGGCCTTTGAAGTCTCCCTTTTCTCATTTATTAAGGCCCTTTGTAATCACCTAACTTAAAAGGGTCACGTTCTTCACTGTTTTCTGAAGCTTTTACTTCTTCACTCATTCAAGATCATTCCTTCTGAGATAGAGACAGTCTTGCTTCTTGAATGGGTTAAACCCCTTATTTGTTTTGAGCACTTTGAAATCATTTAACAAAATTTAAGTTTTAACTTAAATATACTGGGGCAATTTTAAAAATTACCCTTTACCATTGTGATCACATCCCAACTGGTTAGATGCTCGAATGGTTAGCAGCTTCAAACATAAAAGAAACAAATTAAAATACAAATGTTAAATGCCATTCCTGATCTAACCAATGCTTTAACATACATACACACTGTTAATATGACTTGATCAAAATGCTTTCTTTCTCTTTTCTTAGCATATGTTGTACTAAGTTCTTTATTAAACATGTATTATAGATTACCACACACTTACAGAAAGACAATGTTCTCATTTCACAGATTGAAAAAAAAAACAAACTAAGGCTCAGAAAGACTGAGCCAAAACTAGCACCTACATATCCTGACACCTAGTCAAGTCCTAGGAGTATCTGACTTTAATTTTTGTGGATCAATTTTATTTAGAAAATAGCAATTCTTTCATGAATCAGATTAAAATGTCTACAATTTCCCTGTGCAACTTCAATTATCAGGGTAATTAAAACTGCAAACTACTGGTCAAATAGTATATTATGTTCTACTTTATTTTGGAAAGGGTAGAATAGAACTATATGGCTTAGGGAATGAAGTCTTCTCATCCTTCCCTACCATGTGCCAACCACTGGCCATCCCTGTTACAGCATGCTGTGTAACCCTCCAGGTTTTTCCTAACACACATGCACAGACACACGTCACTAGGTCAGCACCTGTAATCTTATTTGATGCCTACATTGCACTGCACTAGTTAAGTATTTTATATCACCCCTCTAATTGCATGTGTATATGAGCATGTACTGCTATATACCACATATGTGTATATACACATTTATGTTGATATCCACATACACATAGTATGTACAGGCTTTTAAAATAAAAATGGTGTATGATATGTATTATTCTCCAACTTGATTTTTCTGCAACTTTCCTTTTTCCTTTTAATCTATAATATATTCTGTCCAACTTTAAAAGCCAAAACATTTACCTCTACCTTTTTCTTTAATGGCCATATGATATCTTTTGAAAGGGATCTAGGAGAGATGGAACTCTAACACCAAAATGTTCTATATAATAATAGAGAAATGAGAGAAGGGAACTTACAAGTTGCATAATATTGCAATCAGATCTTTTCATCTAGCTGTAGCCTTTCTTTGTGACAATGAGAGCCCAAGTGATGACGTGCACCTGCTTTTAAGTGTTAACTCAGTAAACCCTAGTTTATATTATATTGTATAACTACTGGTGAGTGTGTCTGAAAAGCCTTCGCCCTGAGTAATTCTTGCCCTAACTTGGCGGTATGTTAGGAGTTAGAAAAGGGGATAAAATTGAGGGAAACATGATAAGAAGAGATTGATATTTATAAAACAGAAAAGTCTGCTATCTAAAATTATAAATAACTTATTTTTTAGGACACTTAAAAAAATAAAGAATTTAAAACATTAAAATATAGTGATCATGCTGACAACTTGTGCTGTATTGTTTTGTCCAAGACCATAAAGAATGCTGGAGTTACTGAATATAGCCGTTCATTCAAAGCAGCAACCTAATTCTTTGTGTCTCTGAAAAGGCTCTAATATTAAACAAGGCTCAATAGTAAATAATCCATCATTTCCTATACCTTAAGGATCTAAAAAGTATAAAAGTATTTGAGAAATCTAGCACTGTAATTTCTTCATAGTATGCAACAATTTTCAAAACATTGGTCTATTTTTACTTTTCTAAACGAAGCTAAAAATACAGAAAACATAATGAGCAGAAACATGAATACCATTTGCTCGTATTTAATGGCATCCTTTTCAGCAATCTGAGCTGCCCTTTCTTTATTCATGTAGGCTGCTTTTAATTTCTTCTCCAATTCTCTGAGCTCAAGACTGTTTAAAAAAAAAGACAGAAATTTAAATTTGCGGAACATATTGCTCTATTTTAAAAATAATCTATATCTGAAATTTAAAATAATTTTTTATAAATGTGTAAAACATTTATATTATTTTTAAAATATTTTGAAAAAACACCCCTTTCTCCATTCATCCAAAGAAAAATCAGAATGCATGTGAAATGGGACACTTCATTTTCTAGACAAACCAACCCTTTCACTTTCAATAATCATCACTAAGAATCTTTTTGCCAGGCACTGGCTCAGAAAAGGTGCTTTATCAATATCAGTTAAAATTTCTGTCCAGCTACTCACTATCAAATTAAAAGAACCATAGTGGAGGGGTTCAAACCTAAGCAAGTTACTTAAATTTTGTTCCTTCGTTTTACTATCTGTAAAAGGGGTAGTTGTGGGAATTAGTTAACGTGTATAAAGAGCTTAGAAAAGTATCTGTTATACAGTAAACACTCTATAAATGGTATTTTTTTATGATGATGAAGAGGGGGTGACCATGGGAAAGTTTGCTTCACTTCTCTGGGCATGTTTACTTACCTGTTTAAAAATGGGAACTGCCCTCAAATAATCTCTGATTACTTTTTTTTGGCTGAGCCATCCTGACACCTGTTGGCAGCTCAGTGGCAGCTCAGCTCGGGCCGGGAATCGAACTGCTGTTGCTCAGAGCTCAAACTCTTGAGCGAGCTCTTAAGCAACTGAGCCACTTGGCCAGCCCTTGAATTACTTTTGAATCTATCACTTTCTTACCCTTAGTGAAAACAATATGTCATACAAAACTTTTCATTTTAATATGCCAGTCATAGTTCTAAATATGATAGAATACGAGAATTCTGAGTTGGAAGGGTCCTTAGATGTCCCCTAGATGTACATCTTAATTCTTACAGGAACACAGAGGCACTCACCCAATTATAAGCTCAACTTACAAGTACCCCATACCGAGAAAGAGAGAGTCATAAGGAGTACGGGGAGAGAGATTCCTGGTGTTATGATTACGTATGTCCTTGCCCTTACTGCTGTAGGTGCAAACATGTATGCCAGAAAATTGCCTTCTTTCATAAAAATATTATAAATGAGGATTAAGTTTCTAGGTTAGTCTATATGTTTTACTCTACTAAGAGGCTGAGATACATTTACAAGAGTTTTGTTTTGTGGGTTTTTTTCTTTTTGAGTTGGATATTAATGATTGTGAACCCATGTACAAATCCAATCACAATTTATAATATTGCCTCTTCCAAAAAAAGTGCATCTAATTCCAAACAGCCAATATGCAAATAAATTACTCTCATTTGAAAGACAAGTGCACACATTTCTACAGGAGTGAAATTTCTGAGTCATAAGGTAGACTATGTTCAAATTTAGTTGATAATGCTGGTTTTCCAATGATGTGTACAGATTTATACTCTCATAAAGAGTGCCTAAGCGTTTCCACTGCTATACATCCTCTGTAACGCTTTTTAGTCTAGTCATTCTTTTAAATTTTAACCACTCTTATGGGTGTGTAATACATAATTGGGGTTTTAAGTTATGTTTCCCTATTACTAATGGAACTGAGAACTTTTCATATGTTATGAGTCATTTATATCTTCTGTGAAGTTCTTGTTCAGTATTTTTTGTCCATTTTTACACTGGGTTGTCTGCTTATTGTTGAATAAAAGTTCTTTATATATTATGGATACAAATCTCTTGTTGGTTATATGCATTGCAAAAAAAAGAGTGAAGAGTCACTCTGTGGTTACTCTCATAGTGGTTTCTTTAGATGAAAAGAAGTATTCTAATTCACCAGTCTTTTTCGTCATTCTCAATGATTTTTGTGTCATGTTTTGAAAAATGTTGCCCACCCCACAGACATAAAGATATTTTCTTACATTAGTTTCTCAAAGCTTTGTTTCACCATTCATTTTTAGACTACAACTCTTCAAGAATTGATTTTTGTGTGTGGTATGAGGTAGAAACAAAGTTCATATTCTTTCATATGGATATATAATTGATCCAGTACCATTTTATAAAAAAATCTATTTCTGAGTACTCTGCAGTATCAGTCTTGTCATAAAGTAAGTGTGCATACATGCATGGAACTGTTTTTGGATTTTCAATCCCATCTTTCCTAAACTGGGGTTCCATGAGAGAATTAAGCCTCACAGAAAATTGGGTGATTGTATTTTTAAAAATTTTCTCAAAGATGGTATACGAGTGTAGCTGGTATTATTTCAGATCCATAGGAGGTTAAGTTAACTCATTACATATAATGGATGCCTTAGGTCATTAGGGCTTAAATTTTCTGGTTGAGGAGAGCTGCTCTATTATATTCTACTGACCCATTTGTTTATCCTGTACAAAAACCACATTTTCTTAATTATTGTAGCTTTAAAATAAGTATTCATATCCAGAAGTCTCTAATTTTGGTCTTCTTAAAGATTGTCTTAGGAGACTTCAGGTCAAGATGGCAGAGGAGGTAAACACTGTGATCCCCTCCTCCCACAACCACATCAAAATTACCACTAAATTAAAGAACAACGATAATTGAGAACCACCTGACAACAGGCTGAACTATAACTAAGGCTATAACTAAGGATATAAAGAAGCCACATCAAGACTGGGAGGAGGGGTGGAGACGTGGATCATCTGGCCCCACACCCATGTGTGGCAGTTAAGAATCAGAAGGGATACCTCACTTCAGAGGTCCCCCCTGAGAAGTGAGTGGTCCCAGCCCCACACCAGGCTCCCCAGCCTGGGCACCAGTGCTGGGAAGAGGAGACCCCATAACATCTGGTTGTGAAAACCAGTGGAGACTGCATCTGAGTGAGAAGGAGGGCAGCTGGAGACCAAAGTATTCTGCTTGAGAAGCCTGTACATGGACCCACTCGCTCACCGACCCACTCGCTCACCGATTTACTTGCTGGGCTTCAGCACAGGAGCAGCAGAGGAGCACATGGGGAGGAACTAAATTGACCAAAGTCAGGACAAGGCCTGGAAAGGTGGAGTCAGGGCAGCTTTCTCCAGGGAAAGAAGCCATTGTTCCTTTGCTAAGTGCTCCTTCCACCCAGCTGACAGGCACCATATCTGAGTCTCCATTAACCCTGCTAATGCTGTTTGACTGCCCTGGTGAATCCCTGAGATCCTGGCCCACCCAACTGACATGCCTGGACCAAACCTCTTCTACCAGCTTTCCCATACAAGCAGTCTGTCTTGGCTCATGCTGTGGACTTTCATAAAAGCATTCAAAGAGCCACAAACTCCAAATAAGCAGAAGCTGGCCTTGGCATTCCCTGAACCTCTTGCTAAACAGCCCCAAGCCCAGCACAAGTGGTAACTGATCTCAATTTGCATTAAACTCCCAAGACTAGCATAAGCAGTGACCAGTTTTGGCTTGGAACATAAACACAGGGAGTCAGCCAAAATGAGGAGACAAAGAAACATGTCCCAAATGAAAGAACAGGACCAAACTCCAAAAAACGAAATAAATGAAATGGAGGCAAGTAATCTACCAGATACAGAGTTCAAAACACTGGTTATAAAGATGCTCAGTGATAGAGGAAGAATAGATGAACTCAGTGACAACTTCAACACCATAAAAAAGGACAGAAAACATAAGAGCAGATTAGATGACAGTGATCTGGAGAGAAGGTATCAGAAAACACCCAATTGGAACAGCAACGTGAAAAAAGAATTTAAAAAAAATGAGGATAGAATAAGGGTCCTCTGGGACAACATCAAGCATACCACCATTTGCATCATAGGGATACCAGAAGGAGAAGAAAGAGACTAAGGAATTGAGAACCTATCTGAAGAAATAATGATGGAAAACTTCCCTAACCTGGAGAAGGAAATTGACATACAAGTCCAGGAAGCACACAGTCCCAAACAAGATGAACCCAAAGAAGCCCACACCAAGATACATCATAATTAAATTGCCAAAGGTTAAATACAAAGAGAGGATTTTAAAAGCAGCAAGAGAAAAGCAGTTAGTGACACACACAGGAGCTCCCATAAGACTGTCAGCTGAGGGCCGGCCGAGTGGCGTGCTGGTTAAGAGCTGGCTTGGGACGCCAGAGGACCCCGGTTCGGATCCCACGTATGCGGGCCAGTGACACTGCTCTCTACAGCTAAGATGCTGAACAACAGCTCAACCTGGAGCTGGGCTGCCATGAGTCGCCAGCGATGGCTAGGCTGCAGCCCCTGCTGCAGTGGGTTGCCATGGGCTACCGTGTGTAGCCAGCAGCCGCAGTGAGTGGCCATCCAGAAGCCAGCGACTAATCTGCCTCTCCCAGGAAGAGCGCGATGGTGCCAACTTGGGCCAGTGAAGCAACATCCTCCACAACTAGACTGAAGAACAAAAGGACAGCAACTTGTCTGTTCCCATCCCCCAATTCCCCAATTAAAAAAAAAAAATCTTAAAAAGAAAAAAAGACTGTCAGCTGATTTGTCAACTGAAACTTTGCATGTCAGAAGGGATTGGCACAAAATATTCAATATGATGAAAATAAGACCTACAACCAAGATTACTTTACTGAGCAAGGCTATCATTTAGAATCCAAGGAGAGACAGTTACCAGACAAGAAAAAGATAAGGGAGTTCACCACTAAACCAGTATAACAAGAAATATTAAAGAGACTTCTTTAAAAAGAAAAAAGAAAGCTCACAAATATGAGAAGAAAATATAAAAAAGAACAACATTCTCATTGACAAAGGCAAACAATAAAAGGAGTGGATTAATCAACTACAAAGCTAGTACAAAGGTTAAAAGGCAGAAGTAGAATGATCATGTGTAATTCAACAATAAATTAATGGATACACACAAACACATAAAAGTAAAAAAAAAGAGAGAAAAACAAACATGAAGAGGGTGAGTAAAAACTGTCAGAGTGTGTTCAAAATTAAGTGACCATCAACTTAAAATAGACTGCTATAAACAGAGCTGGTATATATGAAGCACATGGTAACCACAAATGAAACACCTACAAGAGACGTACAAGAAATTAATGAGAAAGGAATCCAAACACAACATTATAGAAAGTCATCAACACACAAGAGGAGGGCAAGAGAACCAAGAACAGAGAACTATTAAAAACAACCAGAGAACAATAAAATGACAATAACTATATACCGATCAATAATTACTTTAAATGTAAATGGACTAAATGCTCCAATCAAAACACATAGGTGGATAAATAGATACAAAAAAACAAGACGCATACATACATACACAAAAACATACACTAAAGTGCACAAATCTGAAACATGCAGCTATATGCTTATTGGCCAAACTCTACTTCATTTAACTCTCAGCCATATTTCTGGAATCAGCAGAAACCTGCAGGAGAAATGCATCTACAAACACCAGGCTCACCATTCTGGTTTCCTTCCTCTCCCAGACCTTACTTTTACACTTTCTCCAGATAGTCTGTTCTCAGAGAGAACATTTATCTGAATCACCTAGTCTACAATTGCTAGAAGTGGAAAGCTTCCCTATTTAATTTTTATATCAGTGAATTAGACAAAGAAATGATGAAATATTTTATCTTCCAATAATATAAAACCATGAGTGACAGCTAACAATGATTGGCGAATTAAGGTCCAAACAGATAGCCTGAGACTAGAACAATATGGAGACATTAGCAGTCATTCTAAATCTTTTTTTAAGAATTAATAATCCCTCAGAGAATTTGATTCAGAGAAGTTGTGGACCTAGAAAAATACACATGGATATATTTGCCGAACATATAAAATATAAATTAATGAGGCTCATAATCCCTGAAGCTCACCCATGGGTCATATCATATTCTGCAAAGCCCTTGCTCAGTTAAGATAAAACATAACTATTCAAGTAAATTTCCAATATATTCAACTATATAAGTACATTATGGGCATTTAGTTAGCCCTGAGTTTTAAACAAGGGGATGACATAGCTGCCCCTAAAAAGTAGTTCGATCTTAGGCAACGACATTAAGAACATATTCTAGAACATATTCTAGTGGGTTAATGGTTCCACTATTTGGGCTATGAAGCAGTACCCTGGAGTAAGTACAATGATATAAAGAAAGAAATTGTGGGGACAACATTTTGTTAAGGAATACCAATAATCTAAATAGATCTACAGAAAAGAAACTGAATGGTGGACAAATAAAGGAATGAGGGATATTTAAGTTAGAAGAAAACATTTAGTGCATTCATAAATATGAAAGGATGTCCTACAGAAGAACTAAATATGGGTGTTTTGGTTTTGTTTTTATTTCCATCAAATAGCAGAACTGAGATAAATGCATGGATGTTACAGGAAATTTTATTTTGAGACAACAGGGGAAAAAAGAATATTCAAGTTAGGGATGAATGAAAAATGAAGTTTCTATCACAGTCATTAGATGACCACACCAGCCACTTTCTAGAAATACTGTAGAAAATTTACATAGGAATATAAAATTAAATGATGTTATCACCTAAATTCTCTCTTAACAGGATTCCATGAGTCTATTTTTTATAAAAGGTCACTTTAAAAAATTATGTTTAGAGGAAAGAGCAAAGAGAATTTTTTTTTTCACCTTAAATATTAGCACTTTACTTCCAGGACTATATTGGGTTGTCGGAAAAGTCATGATGCATTTTTGCAATGAAAAACATAGAAAAAATATGTCATGACTTTTCCGACAACCCAATCATTTTTTTCTCAAATGAATAAAACGGAGATGCCAAAAAAATGTATACACATTTTAAGAGATGTTATCTATTCTCAAGCAGTAGTTCGCTGTAATCAGAAGTGTCTGGATGCTGATGGTAACCACTTTGAGCACCTGTTGTAATTGTAGAAGTCAAATGTGACTTGTATTCATCTTTTGTTATTGGTATATATTGAGTATTAAAATTAATACAGTTTTTTCCTTTCTTAAAATGTGTATACATTTTCTGACAACCTTTGTATATACAAGTGATAAAAAGCAAAAATATTTCCAGGCAAAATATTAACTAAGTGCAATGATATAAAGAAAGAAATTTCACTCTTAGGTGCTAAGCATTACACAAAAGTTTAAAGATAAAGACTGAATAAGTGAAATTCATAGAAACCAGGATACCTGTTTTCTCTTACTTGTTGCCTCATCTTTTCATCCTTTAAACTTTCATGTTTTAGTTTTGCCAATTCCACAGCCAATTTTTCTTCTTGTTCAAGCTGGAGTTCCCTCAATCTTTTGTTTTCTTCTGCCTGAATAAAAAAATAAATAACTTTAATTATCTGTCCTCCAGAATCAGGTTTTTTTAAATCAAGGTTGAATTTATTATACCAAAACTACAAATGCCTTCAGAGCAACAATCAACTATTTTAAAATACAAACTATTCAATAAATGCTTTTCTAAATATCACAAGTATCATGGAAAATTTCAAACATCACCAAGAGTAAGAAAAATATTAAAGTACACCCTCAGGTAACCATCAGTCATCTTCAACCATTATCAATATTTTGCTAATCTTTTTTCTCTACTCTTCCACTCCACTCTTACTTTTTCTTTGTTCTCTCTTTTTCTTTTTGCTATAGTATTTTAAAACAAATCCTAGATATGTCATTGCCATGTATGTAATTCAATCTTGATCTCTACCTAATAAGAATTTCTTCCTATAACAACCATACCATTAACATGTCTAAACAAACAATAATTTCTTAGTAAGGCCTAATACCTTGTCCATATTCAGGTGTCCCCAGTTGTCTCAGAGATGCTTTTTTTTTTTTTCTGGTTTGTTCAAATAAAAATCCAAACAAGATCCACACATTGCATTTAATTATCATTTCTCTTAAGTCTCTTTTATTCTGCAACAGTCACCGCCCACCCCCATACACATACACTCTTTTTTCTTCCAAGCCATTGATTTGTTGGAGAAATTAGGACCTATCTCCCATAGAATGTCCCACATTCTCAATTTGACTGACTGCATATCCAGGATATCATTTAACTTGTTTCCATTTTGTGTTTCCTGTAAAATGGTACAAAGACCTAGAGGCTCATTAAATTCTGTATTTAGGAAAGAATAAGCACATGACTACATGTTCAACATCATTAGCCACCAGGAAACACAAGTTGAAACTACAATGATATATCACTACATACCTACTGGAATGGCTAAAACAGAAAACAGTGGCAAAACCAGGTGCTGGTGAGAAACTCCATTGCTTACACCTTGCTGGGAATGTAAAATGATACGGCCACTCTCGACAATAATTTGGTGATGTTATAAAGCTAATATGCAATTATCGTCTAACTCAACAATTGTACTCTTAAGCATTTATCCCATAGAAATGAAAACATGTTTATTTAAAAACCTGTACCCGAATGTTTACAGATTTATTTAAAAGAGCCAATACTAGAAATACCAGAGATCCTTCAACAGGTGAATGGTCAAATCAACTGTGGTACCTCCATACCATGGAATACTACTCACAACAAGAAGTAATGAAATACTGATACATGCAACAACTTGGATGAATCTCTAGGAATTATTCAGAGTGAAAAAAATCCAATCCCAAAAAGTTACATACTGTTTGATCCGTTTACGTAATGTTCTTGGAACGTGTTCTTTATTTCAAACTTGAGATATACAGAGCACAAAATTCACCTTTCACAAGTCACGACTCAGTGGTTTTTAGTGTATTCACAATGTTGTGCTTGTTGTGCAACCATCACCACTATCTAGCAGCAGAACTTTTTTAAAAAAATAAACTAGTTTTGGAGTTTTGGGTTCACAGCAAAATTGAGAAGAACAGAGTTCCCATATACCCCCTGCCCCCACACATGCTCAACCTCCCTATAACCATCTCCCACCAGAGCGGGACATTTGTTAAAATCAATACTGACATATCATTATCTCCCAAAGTCCATAGAACTCTCGTGTATCCTGACTGTGGTGCTGGATATGCAAACCCACCCATTTACATTAGGATTCATTCATTGTTGGCATTGTATATCATATGGGTTTTGAGAAATGTACAATGACATGTATCTACCATTATAGTACACAGAGTAGTTCCTCTGCCCTAAAATTCCTCTGTGCTCTACCTATTCATCCCTTTCTTCCTGAAATTCTTGGCAATAACTGATCTTTTTACTACCCTTTTGCCTTTTTCAGAATGTCATATACTTGAAATGGAACAGCATGTAGGCTTTTAAGATTTGCTTCTTTCATTTAGTAATACACATTTAAGGTTCTTCCATGTCTTTTCATGGCTTAATTGCTCACTTCTTTTTAGCACTGAATAATATTCCATTGTCTGGATTATTTATCCATTCCGCTACTGAAGGACATCTTGGTTGCTTCAAAGTTTTGGCAATCATGAATAAAGCCGCTATAAACATTCATGTGCAGGTTTTTGTGTGGACAGAAGTCTTCAATGTTCCAGAATGTATCCATCATTCCAAAAAGAAACCCTGTACCTGATAGCAGTCACACCAGTCCCCTCACACCACAGCCCCCTGGGAACCACTAATCTACTATATCTATGGATTTGCCTATTCTAGATATTTCATTTAAATGGAATCATACAACATGTGTCCTTTTTGTAAGCTTGGCTTCTTTCACTTAACATAATGTTTTCATCGTTCACCCAAGTTGCAGCACATATCAGTAATCCATTCCTCTTTATGGCTGTATAATATCCCATTGTGTAGATACAACACACTTTGTTTATCCATTCATCAGTAGCTGAGCATTTGAGCTGTTTCCACTTTAGGGCTATTATGAATAATGCTACTATGAATATTCGTGCATGCGTTTCTATGTGTACACGTTTTTCAATTATCTTGGGCATATGGTTAGGAGTGCAATTGCTAGATAATAGATGCTTAGCTTTTTGAGGAACTCCAAACTGTCTTCCACAGCCACTGCAGCCCTACACTATTTTACATTTCAATGTAATAAACAAGGGTTCTAAGTTCTCTACATCTTTGCCAACACTTATTTTCATCTTTTTAAAAAATTATAACAATCCTCATGGGTTTGAAGTGGTATCTCATTGTGGGTTTGATTTGCATCTGTGTGATGACTAATAATGCTGAGCATCTTTTTTGTGCTTCTTGCTCATTTGTATATCTTCTTTGGAGAAATGGCTATTGAAACACTTTGCTCATTAATTTTTTTTTTTGTCTTTTGATTGCGTTGTATATACAACATTCTTGAAAATATAGAAATGGAGAATATATTAGTGGTTGCCAGAGTTAGGGATGAGGTAGAGGCAGACAAGAAAGAGATGGGTTTGCTTATAAAAGGACAAAATCAGAGATCCTTGTGGTCACGAAGCTCTTATGTATCTCGACTGTGGTGCTGGATATGCAAACATACACGTGATAAACTGTAGAGAACTAAATACACATACACAGACACACACACTCACTACTAAGAAACGAGCACAAGTAAAACTGGGGAAATTTGAACAAGATTGGTGGATTGTATCATTGTTGATATCTTGTTTGTGATATTGTACTATAGCTGTGTAAGATGTACCACTGGGAGAAATGTGGTACAGGAAATATAGGATCTCCCTGTATTATTTCTTACAATGGCATATGAATCTACAATTATCTCATTAAAAAACTTTAATGAACAAAAAGCAATTGCAAGTCCTAGTGAGGACACAAAGCAACTGGAATTCTTACACATTCCTTAAGGAAATGCAAAACAGTGCAGCAACTTTGGAAAACAGTTTGGCAGTCTCTCATAAAATGAAACATACACATCCTATATGACCCAGCCATCCTACTCCCAGATTTCTATCCAAGGGAAATGATAATTTATGTTCATACAAATGTTTGTAATCAAATGTTTATAGCAGCTTTATTCATAATTGCCCAAAACTGGAGATAACTCAGGTCTCCTTCAACCTGTGAATGGATAAATAAACGGTGGTATATCCATATAATGGAATACTGCTATACCATTTGGCAATTAAAAGGAATAACTCATGCAACAACATGGAATCTTAAATTTGTTTTGCTAAATGAAAGAAATCAAACTAAAAAGGTTACATATTATATAATTCCATTTATATGACACTATGGAAAAGGTGAACCTATTGTGGTAAAAAAGAAATCAATGGTTTCCAGGCACTCACAGGGATGGAAACCACTTTTAAAACTTGCTTTAGCAACTCCCCACAACATCCTACAAAATGTTGAACATACAGAAGGTACTCAAAAAATGCTGAAATAACAAAACACTTTTTTCACATTTACAAGAACTCATTTCTTATCAGATCCCCTTTTTCTACCACCCTCATCCTTTTAAATATTTAGAAATTTCCACTGAAAAATTATCTCCATATTTTAGGAATTATATACATATAAATTATCCCTGAGTTCTTCAAAGCAGTATTTCAAAAATAAAAAATACGAGTAAATTCATACCTAATACATAAATGTTCATGTTCTACCACTTAATAATATATGTTTAAACTCAGTTGATTTTTTTAAAAGCTATTCTTAAATTTTTGTCTTTAGAATTTTATGGAAAGCAACCATCTTGTACTTAAGTGAACAAAACTGTGCAAGTTAATAATTATGGATTTCATATTTATGGGAAAAAACACCTCAGTGCTTACTCTGTTCGAAGTGCTATTCCAAGAGCTTTGCATATATTAACTCATTAATTATTAAAACAATCCTATGAAGTAGGTACTATTATTATTACCATTTTATAGATGAGGCATAAAAAAATGAAAGCTGCCCACTCAAGGTTCTACAGCTAATATATAGCAGGACTATGATTCAAAGACTTAGTCTAGCTCCAAAATCCCAGCTCTTAACCACCAGGCTGGGCTGACTTACAATGAGGCATTCTTTGCCTGATGTTATTGTCTATCTACTCAGTCCAGTATAGCAGTTGGCTTTCATCATTTCCAAGGAGCAAATGAGAAAAAAATGATGTAAGAATGAATAGCAAAACTTACCTTTTGAATGGCTTCTTCCATATCCAACTCAAATTGTTCATTCTGTAATAATCTGAGGAATCTCTTGCGCTCAGCTCGGTCATCATTTTCATTCCACATCATTTGGTCCCTGATTTGATTCTCTATCTTTTTTAGCGCCTCAACACGCAATTTTGTGCGGTAGTTTTTCTCTACTAACTTCTGATGCCTTTCACTGACACTCCAAGCTCCCCTTTTGGAAGCCTATAATGCAAAAATAAAAGTAAAGGTATGCATATTTTAGTGTTCTAAAATCTGATTTTTAAAAACACATTGATGTAAGTGCCAGTAACAAAGGATACAAAGATAAGTAACTAATAAAAGAAGGGCCTTTGGCTTCCTTCCTAAATTTGGAGAAATATACCATAATAAATGCGTAAACATGGTAGATAAATATATTGATATATCAATGAAATAGGGACCATTATTATTCCCCATCTTATAGATGAGGCTGAAAAGTAAAAGCAAATTTACCCAAGGTTCCTCAGCTAATAAACAGCAGTACTAGTATTCAAAGACGTGCAGTCGAGTTCTCACAGGCCAGTTCTTTACCACTATGCAGGAAATTCCCCCTCTCCTCATCCCACCCCACAACCCCCACCTTGGCCATAAAGTGCTGTTTAGATGCCCATCAGGATTTCCTAATATAGACAATAGGTCAATCCGCTGCTACTTAAATCATTCACTCTCTCCTGTACTTTTATTTCCACTCATTTGTTCAGCGGTTTTGTTAATCTTTTCCTAAATTTCCTGAAATACGGGAAATAAAGATTTTTACTAGGCAGATCTAATAATGGAGGGAAAATGCAAAAAAGGCCACCGAGAGCGTCCCTGAAGTAATTGCACCTGAGGCCTCTGAAAGTTTCCCACTAATTCTCAGGTTAGGCACTTCAAATCCTTTTTGAGAAGATGGCTGGCTCTAAACTACAGTTAAATCAATAGATATACAAATTGTTTCGAGACCGCCGACCGGCTCACCATCTTAGCGAAGAAAAACGCTTCTCTCCTGGTAGCACCTCCTACCACAAACACAAAGGCAGGCTGAGCTCTTTGGCGTCTACACGGTTTCCCGGCAACGGCCACGGTGGCGCCCTGCGGCCTACCAAGGCGCGGCCTCCCATTGGACAAACAAGATCCAATCGGCCGTGAGCTTCTTGAAGGGCTGGCTGGGAGGCTACTTCAATAGATCTAAAGTAAACAGGCGGGAAATTCAAATCTTATGTCCCGATGCAATCCTTTTGCAGTGTGTGAGGGCGCTCAATATTTCCCTCAAGCGGATAAATTCTGGTAGGGTTGGTAGCCAAGCTGAGGTCTGTGGAAACTGTTTACATAGAAATACACAAATTCCTTTCTAGTACATGAGGCTAAAGTCACTTTCCACGCCCAGAACATCCTGTGCCCTCAGGGCTTACCTATTCTGCCTGGGTTGATGATTGCCTTTGTCAGCAGCGGGAGGCACAATCACTGTCCCCCCTCCTGGGTAATTGTGAGACACTGGGTAACACTTGCTTCCTGGAGCCTTCTCACCTCCCCCCTGCCCCACAGAAGCTTTTGGTAAACTTTGGGAATAAAATGAATGGACCACATAAATCTTATTTTGCTGTGTAATACACGGTCCATGAGCCAATGAGAGAACAGACAGATGATAGCAGGATGTTGGTCTGATTTATTCTATTGGCAGGTTAGACCTAAAGTCCATTTTAAATGAAAGAATTTAAGAACAGGAACGGGTCAGAGAAATTAAGTATATTGATTTTAGAGATGACATATTCAGAAAAATCTCATCAAAACTAAAAAAAAAATTTAAGGTAGTAAGTATAAGTACTTTAGTTAGTGTTATTAAATTTGAAGTCTGTCTTACGTAGCAATATGTCTGCTTAAAGATCAATGACAAAAAGGACTTCCAGTTTCAGCTCCAAAATATAGAAAACTTGGAAGTTGTCATTTCCATCCTTACTACCAAAAAAGAAGCTGACCAAACTAAAAATTAATTGCTTTTCTTGGACTAATCATAGAACTGAGGTCACAGGGCAGCCCACCACTGTGAAATCTGAAAAGAGGTGAAGCAGGGAGTCCCAGTCAAGACCTACTTACCTGGAGCAAAAGCCACTGAAGCCATAAACTAGCAACAAATAGTAATGTTGATGAATTGCTGGAGACTGAGTGTGGACTAGCACAACTGAAACTACTGGGGGCTGCAGTCTTTGGGAGACCCGCACACTTCCATGGGCTTTGCCTCCAGGAACCCCAGCAGGTTCTTACAGTGAATAACCAAGAAAGAGCTGTAGGATGAGAAGAAGAGTCATTGTGAAATAAGTCTAGAGTCTTCTAATAAAAAAAGTCCTACTTTCCAGAGGAAACTGTTTTACCAGAGCCTTATTCCACCTGGGGCAAGGACATTTCTCAAACTATAGCCTCCTTCAGCCTTCCTATCTCACCTAAGTGGAGAAAGAGGAGGTAAGAAACACTTGTGAAGGTCATAGCCCTACTAATGGAAATTTAATCATAAAATCATAGAACACTTTCCCTTTTCCATGCTTTACCACCAGACTCCAGTGCAGTTACAGTTGATACAACTGGGAGAGCTACAAAACTCACACTCTAACAAGAAATTCTTAGAGAAAGCCAAAGACAACAAGTGGCAAAAACAAAAGCACTAGAGGAATTTGAAACCTCTAGAACCTACAGCTACAGTAAACATTAAACACAGCCTAACTTCTAGTGATATAATTTTAAAAAAAAACACCTCACACTGCACTAAAGCCCTACTTACCTCAGTTCCTGTTACCCAATATGCCAGGTCCAGCTTTCAACAAAAAAATAAGGCTAAAGGCAAGTTGCTACAAGGCAAGGAAAAACAGTCTGAAAGGCAAAGTAAGCATCAGAACTAGACTCAGCTTTGACACAGATTTGGTGATTATTAAACAGGAATTTAAAATAACTATGATTAATATTCACAGAGCTCTAGTGGAAAATGTGGACAGCAATGGAAAACAACAGATAGGTAATGCAAGCAGAGAGATGGAAATTCTAAGTAAGAATCCAAAAGAAATTCTAGGAATCAAAAACACTAACAAATGAAGAATGCCTTTGTTAGGCTTATCAGTACATTGGACACCCCTGAGAAGAGAATCAATGAGCTTGAAGATATGTCAATAGAAACATCCCAATTTGAAATGCAAAAGGTTGATAGCAAAAAGAAAAATCCAGTTGTGCTTGGACACCTCACCTTAGACTCAAATTATTTTCCTATTACACTAGGACTTTGGGGGTGGCGGGAATGGGCAGAGGATATTGTCAATGTTTCTGTCTTTTGGGGGCCTTGTTATAAACCCAGTTACCACAAATTTAAACTTGATTACAGGATGTGTACAGTGCAAAACATTTTAAACCAGGGGGCAACTGTAATGGGCATTTAATCCCCTGTTAATGAAGCAACTTCCACAAGAACTCGATAAAAGACATGTTCTTTTATGGGCTTATGTATAGCTTCTCATAAATTACCCTCTAATTAAAACTTGTTGGCTAAGCTGTCCCCAGAAATTTTTGTTTTAGACACTGATGTATCCCAAGCATTTAAGATAGTGGCTGGCATATAACTGGTGCAAAATGAATATTTGTTAAATGAACAAATAATTGAAATTATATTACTGTTATGCACTTGGAGAAAGTTCTACCCAGAAAAAACTTTGAAGAAATATTGTTCTTCATCTTAATTTTATCAATTTTATTTATATTTTTCAAAGAGCAAACTTTTGTCTTTGTTTTTTCTATTGTTTTTCTATTTCCAAGTCCATTGATTTATGCTTTTAGCATCATTAGTTTCTTCTCTGCTTGCTTTGGGTTTAATTTAACCTTCTTTTTATACTTTCTTAAGGTGGAAGCTTTATTTAAGACCATTCTTCTTTTCAAATATAAAAATAAATTTCCTTCTAAGCCCTGCTTTAGCTGCCTCTGACAGATTTTGATATCCTGTGCTTTCTCATTCATTCAATTCAAAATATTCAAAGACCTTCCTTGACCCATGAATTTAGGAGTGTTTTGATAACTTTCCAAATATTTCAGATTGTCCAGGTATCTTACTGTTATTGATTTCTAGCTTAATTCCAATATGGTCAGAGAACATACTCAGTATGACTTCAAATCTTTTTAGTTAGTTGAATTTTGTTTTATTGTGTAAAATGATCTATCCTGGTGTTTCACGCACACTTAAAAATAATGTGTATTCTGGTGTTCTTGTCTGAGGTGTTCTATAAATGTCAATAAGGTCAAGTTGGTTGAGAATGCTGTTTAGGTATTCTATATCCTTACACTATTTCTATTTGATTTATCAATTATTGAGAAGAATTGTTGAGATCACCAAGTATAATTGTGGATTTGGTTATTTTTCTTTTCAATGTTTTCTTTTTTTGCTGCATGTGTTTTGAAGTTCTACTGTGAGGTGTATACATCTTTAAGATTATGTTCTAATAACATTTTGACATTAACATTTTTAAATGACTTTTTATCCCTGGTAATATGTTTTGTTCTGAAGTGTATTCAAGATTAACATTGCCACTCCAGCTTTTTTTAAACTGATGGTTACATGATACATTTTCCTTTATGCTTTTACTTTGAATTTGTGTCTTTATATTTAAAATGTTTTTCCTGTAAATAGCATATAGTTGAATGAACTTTTTTATTCAGTCTGACAATCTGTATTCTAATTGGTATGCTTATGACATTTACATGTTATTTATATGGATGGATTAAAATCTAGTTTTGCTAATTTTAAAATATTTATTACAACTGTTCTTTGTTCATTTTTCTCTTCATTTTCTGTCTTTTTGATAATTTTTTGTTATTCCATCTTATTTTCACTATCAGGTTAATATTTACACCTCATTTTTTTTACCAGTTGCCCTAAGATTTAATATATGTATATTTAAATATTCATATACTGTGATTCTGCCCCATTTGTTATGTATAAACCTTGCAACAGTATAATTCCAATTCCTCTACCCCATATTTTGTGCTATTGTTATTATTTTACTTTTACCTATATAAATCTACAATACATATATTTCCACATACATTAGACTGTTTGATATTGCCTCAAAACTCTCAAATGATATATATTGTTTCTTTTTCTCCAATCTTTTTCTTTTTGTGTTTCTGTTTGGGTCATTTTTATTGCTATATCTTCAAATTCACTGACTCTTTCCTTGGCTGTGTTAAGTCTTCTATTGAGCCTGTCAAAGGCATTCTTCATGTTCATTACTGTTTTGGTTTTTAATCTAACATTTTCATTGAACTCTTATAATTTCCATTTTCTCAGCTAAAATTACCCATCTTTGCATGTATTGTTTGCCTTTGCCATTAGAGGCTTTAACATATTAATCATAGTAATTAAAATTTTCTGTCTGAGAGTTTCACCATCTGGGTCATATATGAGTTTTGTTCTGTTAATTGCTTCATTTTTATACACTTTTTACAAAGTTTTTTCTTGCTTTTTTTGTAGGTCTCATAATTTTTTTATTAAATGCCAGATATCATGTGTGAAAAAGTATAGACTACAATAAATAATATTTATGCTGGAAATACACACATCTGTTCTTCAACTGTAACAGTGTAGCAGGTTGAGTCAGGAGTTGAGCTGCATTTGAACTTTGTTGTTGCTATGGTTACCAACAGTGCTCCACTATCTTCAAATTTCTCTAGCGTTATCCTGTGCTTTTGTTGGGGGCTGGTTGTTTTTCTTTTAGAAGGCTTCTCTCAAGTGTTCCTGATCCCTCCTTAGCATTAGGCTTTCCCCGTGTTCCTGCACATCAGAAAATGTCTCTCTCCACACTCTGACTCCTGCCCCTAGCAGTAGAGCCTGTTTTTTGGTTGCTCATGCTTGTTAGACAGGTGGTGGGAGGAGGGATGTTCTCTTTTGTCCTGGTTCAGCAATAGGTCAGCTAGGTCTCTGGTGTGTGTGTGTGTGTGTGTGTGTGTGTGTGTGTGTGTGTGTGTGTGCAGTGGTCTGATAAATTAGAAATTTTTTCCTTAATGGTAAGTATTCACTGTTCTCTTATTGCCTTTAAAGAAAGTTCCAAAACCCTACCCTGGCCTGTAAAGGCTTGTATGTCTACTTCTCCAAGTTTCTTCTTCAAACTTGAGCCACAGTGAACTTGAGCTCCTTCTTGCCAGAGGGCTATTGTATGTGCGGGTCCCTGCCTTTAATAAGACCAGAACTCCACTAACCATTTTGTCAATGAGATAACACATGCTCTGGATGGCAGAGCAGAAAAATATTATAGAAGGAGCTTTCTTTTTTTATGACCAAAGACCTACCACACCAGCCCTGCCCTGCCTAGCGTGACCTCATGCTCATGCTCTATGAAAGAAACATAACTCATAATTATCTAAGTCTCTGGGTCCTGTTTTCCACCCAGGATTCTATTGCTGTTAGCCAAATGCAGTTCCTCGCTGATACAATCACTGTCTCTTTTTAATCTCATGGGTGAAAATGTTAAGAAAAACAAAAATTTTGCAGCATTAGTTGCCTTTTTAAATCAATGTTTGATTTTAAAGATTATTAGTAGGTAGAGTGGAAAACCCTCTGATTTCTTTTCTCACATTTTCCTCTCTCCCTTTTTTATCTTCTAGAAGCTACTGGCCAGTTTTTCCCTTGACTTAATCCATGTACTCTCAGAGTCTTGATCAAAACATTTGATCCTTGATTTTGTTTTCAAAAGATCCATGCAACATGTTTGTCTAGTAATTTGATAATTCCCAGTCATGTCATTTACAAATTGGATAAGCATGTCTTTTATTTTTAAATGCTTCATAGATAAAAATGCAGACTAGGACTGGGTGAACATAGGGCCCTGACTAATACCACTATCTTTTCCCTTGCAAATAGCAACCTCAGAGTATGATCAATCAACTAGTTAATAATGCACCAATTTTACTAATACATGGCCAATATTTTTATACCTTTTTTGTAAGGATTTACTGGGACAACTCTCCAAGAAGACTTCACTAAAGTCTAGATACATTATGATTTCATTTCTCTTATCTGCTTAACAGTTGATTGCATGACAACCAAATGATAATATTTTTGGTTGAATAGATTTGGGTCAACATTACTTACCTGAAATGCTCAAAGATCAATAAATATAAAAGTCTTTAAAACATTAACAGGGCATAAATCTGATAATTAAATGTTAAGTCACTTGATAAAGTTAAGCTCTATAATGTACAATGAACTTCTAAATCATGCTAATTTATTTTTGCAAGGAAATATTTGTAACTTAAA